AAAGGCTGGGAGAGGAATTCTGCTCCTCAGGGAACTGAGGAACTGAGGAAACCAGATTGTCTCTATGCATACAGTCCATTTGGTATTCAGGGGCTCTGTTTGCTCTCTCTTCAAAAGGAGAGATCTTTCCTCTCAAGGAGGTTGTTGTAACATATGCATGTATTATAATTTTATAGCTTACACTCATAAACCTTCTGTTTCTTATGAGATGGCTTGAACTGGAGAAATATGCTCTGCATAGTCCATGCTCTGTAGACTCCCAAGGATCAAAAAGAAATAGACTGCCATGACTGAAAAAAAGGAAACATCAGAAAGAGTTGAAACAGTATTAGAATTTGTACTGCTTGTAAAACTAAGCATTAGGGTCAGGAAAAACACTGTAAAACTCAAATCAAGGTCCCTGGCTGCATCCTCTTAGCAAAGCAATAATTGACACAGAGGATGAGACACTGTGTTTCTTCAACTGACATACTATTTAAGGCTTTTATTTGTCTCCATGATCAGTTTCCATTTATTTAACAGTCCACGTAGTCTGTACAAGTGCAGCTTGCACAGATCCCAGGAAGCTTTCTCATTTTCATTGCTTCCAGGACTGCATTTTTCATTCAGCTGAAGTGCACAGGGATTCCACCCAGGCAGCTGGATTCCTAAATGAAAATATTTTAACAGGAAAGAAATCCTGTTCTGCTAAGCTCCAGTACACCAATTGCCAATAGAAAAGCACTAACACTTTCTGGAAAAACTCTGATGTATTTTCTGTCCTTGGGAATATGCTCTCAGATGAGTACATGTAATTAAAACAGTCTTATCTGGCTTTTAGCTGAAGACTACCTCCAAACAATCCCACCTCTTCTTCCAAAGAACTGGAACAAGTCATGGATAAAATAAACCCTTAGTGCTCTACAGCTGCATTCCACTGTCCAAGCCAGATCCCTTGAGAGAAAATACAAAAAGAGAGCTGCTTGATTGTCAGAGAGGAAAGCACCGCTGAAACAGCTGAAAAGTAGATTTTATTTTTTTAATCTTTAGCTGTGAAGGGGTACCCTCACAAAATGCTCCACACAACTAGAAATTGCTTCTGGGGACTTACACAACTATTGACAATGCAGTGTGCATCTGAGAGGCATTAGTGATGAAAAGGATGTCAGAAAACCACCCAGGTGCTTCTGAGAGAAACAAAGCACTCAAGCCTTCAGAGTGAGCTGGACCTCACTGTCAAGTGAGTTTGTCCAGTCTGATAAAATCTGATATAGATATCAGATATAGATCTGATAAAATCACAGCTGCAAAATCATAATTCATGACTATAATTCACAAAGAAAACTGAAAATCCATTTACATTTATTAGGAGATGGTTGTGCACAATTTCTCATCTTATTCAAAAAGTCTACAAATAGAGTTTAACACTTCTGATTGCAAGCAAATATTTGTTCAACGTTCTTAGTTCAATAAGGCCAATTTAGTGCCTTTTTACACTTTCAAGGTTTAGTATACATTTGTCAGTTCTTTACTTTCTTCTGGTAACAGTCCCACTGGAACAGTAAGGAAAGTTCACTAAGACACTTTATAACAGCAGCTGAACTTGGGTTACACAAATTCAGTTTTGGAATATGCTTCAAATGTAAATTATTCTAGGCAATTTTCCATTTTGAGATCTTAAAACACCATCAAAGGCTCTTCCCTTTCCACCCACATTTGTGCTACCACCACCATGAGATTGCCCTCCACACAGCCATACATCCAAGGATCTCAAAGCACTTCAGAAAGGAGGGCACCAATTCAAATTCTGGGATACTTGAGCTGGAATCCTACTTAATAAAGAGTATATTTTTTTCTTTGTCTTATGTTTACAAAAGGACAAGCATCAAACTAAGCTGATCCTGTCTTCACCTTAGTCCCACCTCTGACTATCTGTCACTTTCTCTCATTCAATCCTATCACTTGTTCAGGAGCTCTGTTTAATTATAGTGCTCACAGCTGAGTTTCCTCTATGGAAAGCTGAGCATCTGTTATGGTCAATTATTTTCAGGTGGAAGTAGTGGTCAAATTTTAGGTCTGTCACAATCTTGAGAATTGTTTGACTGGAGTAACTACCATAATTAATGTAATGTAATTTGATAATGCACTTGATCCCATATTGGTTTAAGAAGTGTAATAGACTATATATGCATTTCTCTAAATTCCCTCAGAGCTGAAACTACATAGCTACGGTGAAGAAATTCTAATCTGCCTTAAGCGGAACATTTTACAACATTATTTTAACTTACAACTTTGATTTAGAGCACTATTTTCATAAAGATTTTCAGTTTGCAATTCTGACTGAATAGGTGAGTGGCAAAAATGACATTATATGTACAAGTATTAGTATACTACCAGAATGCTGTACTTCCTTCTTAAAAATGTCCTTAATAAAGCATTAAGCATGTCAAACAAACTTTTGTAAACAAAAGATAAATTACTCATGTTCTGCTCTGATTATAGCCAGATACATATTCTCATAAAATAAACATTCTCTTGTCATTTTCCATGGCCCACATATCCATATATATGAGGTAAACCATTTAAAATTATCAATAATATATAAACCCCAGTACTCAACAGGAACCTCAAGAAAAATGTAACCGAGTAGGATGCCAATATCAAGAAGTGACACTTCGTTCCACTGCAAAGTGAAACCAATTTATTTGTGCTAAATGAATGGAAAGAATGTATTTGGAATACATTTCTTTTTACATTGTACCGGCTTAGGCTGCTAAATAAGCATTCATTAGTGCCATGTTGTGCTACTTTCTTGTACTCTGTTTCTACCAAGCAATACAAAGTTTTGGCTGTTATGCCAATATATTCCTCTATGCTCATCTCATTTTCCAAGAGGCTTTTGAACATTTAAAATACCTGTTCAAACTTTGCTTCAGGGGCATCACAATGAATATATTTTAACAAGAAAGTAATTATCATCAGTTGTTCTCTACAATCACATCGCCTTCTGCAGCAAAAAATTCCAAGAGCACACACTTGAATCAGCTCTCAGTAACCTGTGGGCAGGACCACACTCCCCTACAGTCACTGTGACAGGGCACATGGTATGGGCAGCTTACAGGTTAACAGAAATGTCAAGTGACATCATCAAATCTTAAGGTCCACAAATTGTACATTCCACAGACTCCAACAAGCCAGTTCTCTCAGTGTAAAGTTCTGACTGTACCATATGTTTGAGGTGCTTTTAAACAGGAGAAGTATGGATGTGTCCTCTGTGAATTAAGCTTATTTTTTATGTAATACCAGAGAGCTTGTGTCTTGGGCACTGATTAGGGTGTCTGACTCACTTTTGCACTAGAAGCTGATATTTTAAATGACTGAAACATAGTGCTGATCTTCTATAAGCTTGGTAAACACTGTAATATTTCAGAATTTATCACGTAGCCCATCATGCCTTTCATTTTCTGCAAATTGTCATGAAAAAATATAAAAAGGTATCCCTTTAATTTTACAAACCTAAAAGCCAGGAAAATGAAGCTTTGGAGCCAAGCAAAACGACATAATGCCGTATTACCAAACAGAGTAGCAAATGTTCCAGCCAGAGAATGGACATACATGTAGTTCAAGTAAACACTGATGGAAAACTTTGTTAAGTTAGTGTTGTAGACCCACAACACTGGCTGCATTTTATACAAACGTTTACAACACAATTAACAGTGAAGCCTATATAACCTCAGTGCAAATAAGTCAAATCCAAATATGCCAAGTAAGCCTTTGGCTTTTAGTAAACTGCTCCGTGTTATGAGTCCACTTCTGACATAGAGACTGCTGAGCACATGCACTAAGGCTGAGAGGAGGGATGCACTGCATGTTGAAAATTGGCTGCCTGCGATGCCGCGGCTTGGCCCGGAGGTTGCACAGGTGGTGGAGGTGGTGGCGGAGGTGGCTGCACTGGGGTCTGCGTGTTTGGAGAAGGAGGAGGAGTGGGACGTTTAAATTTGTCGGGGCTGTTACTTCTTCGTGGTGAAGGCCTCTGCAGAACAAATATTGAAATTATGTTTAACACACTCCTGAACAATGTTAGGTGCAAGTCCTCTAAACTTGGCAAAGGCAAAAAAAAAAAAAATCGCACAAAGAAGTCTGAACAATTATGTGGGAAGAAGAAATTTCAAAACATTGCAGGAGTCACAATACAACTTTTACATAAAATAAATCTTCCTCTGAAATAGAGTAGCAAAGGAAAGGGGAGTACTCTTGACATCAAAGAGAAAATGCATTCCTTCCTGTCAGCTTGCAGGAAATGAACACAAGACATGTCCTGCAGATATGTTTACCCGTGATGACCAGCAACCTAAAAAGAAATGAGATGCTGCAGGCACAGCATCTCCCAGCTGTGCCTGCTCAACCAGTAGGTGCTGAGGAGCCCTTGACTTCATGCTATGGGCACGTGAAGTACAAGTATGTGGTACCTGAGTGTGGGTGGGAAAGTTTTGAGTATCACAGTCTGCCCAGAATCTCTTGCTCTCTGAAAGACTCTTAGCCCACACACTAGAGCAAAACCAAAGTATAATACAAGCTGCTCTTTGGAGAACAAAAAAAATATTCCAATGCTTTGAGCTGCAGGAGTGAAGTAGTTGTTAGAGAGACCCCCTCAACTGAAATCACAGATTTTCAACAACTGGTACATTTAAACAGAAAGATTTAAATCCCACTTTATCTTTACAAACTATGGGGCAGGAGGAAAAGCATCATCTTTGAACGTTAGCAATGCAAAAATAGAAATCACACTCCACAACATTAACTTCTGCACTTTTGATACAAAAATGCTCATTACTTACCAATTGGGTTAGCATTAATCAACAATCTCATGGCATGACAAAACACCTACACATATTTACTAATTGATCACAGGTGGTCAGCTCTGGGGAGAAGCATAATTACAGTTCTATACCAAATGTGCTAAAGGTAAAGTTAAAATTATTTTGCAATGGAGATCAAAAATGAAGAGTCAAGAATGAAACTGCAGTTTAGTCAAATCAAATATATTGTATCTATTTTTCTGCAAAGCTGTGTACAATAGATTAAGCTTATATGTAAAATCCAAGAGATTCTTGAAAACTGACTGATGCCTCTGAAACACTTAGTATCATTTATTGCATTTGCATACATATAATTAGGGGACCTGGTATCAGTATTGAGACAAACCCATAAGCTGCTTGTTGACACCTTTCTCTGAACAATTAGTATTTTGTTCTCAGGATGATTTTTTTCATAGAGACTCAATTCATTTGGAGTTTCAGAAAAAGTAGTATTTCACAGAGAACAAACAGAACAAGTTCTTTGAAAAACTCATTTATAAAGTTAGTTTCCATGTTTCCCAGAAGCATAAAGATCTTCCTCTGACTAACTTATGTTACACACAGCCATGGGCTGAGCCCCAACTAGAATTCTACTTTCCTGCTGAGCTCCAGCTTCCTTTCTGTTCTACCTATCATTGCAGTGTTCCCACCCAACGTAGCTCAGTGAAATTGTAACAATTACCTTTGCACACTCATCTAAACCAAAAGCACCCATATTTCAGCATTGTACTAAAAATCCTAATAAAATATGGTTTTACATCTGAGAGTGACAAGTATAAGCAAAAACCTTGACGAATATTTACATACTACTATACCCGCTGAGAAAAATCAAAACGGTCTTAACACAAAACAACCATAAGGTATTTCTGCCATATGGTTAATATTTAGGCTTTGTTTACTCATGAAACTCCACAAATATTCAGAAGAAACACAATGAAGTGGAAATGCATCAAACATCGCAGGTAAAAAGGAAATAAATTCAGTTGAAAGATATGAGAAATTTCCCTAACAAATGTTTATATTAACTTTCTTCTTTGCCAATGACAATAGAAAATAAGAGTTAACTGCCTGTTACAGTGACATGATGGTAGCATTGTGTGTCATCCTGAAGAAAACCTGAGCTTGAAGCAACCTCAGATGACTCATCCGTCAGATGGTGGAGACTAGGAGAAAAATGAAAGCAATGTTTTTACTTCCTGGGATAGGCTTAGTAACTTAGAACATCACTTTTCACACCCTGCCTGCTGATCCATAAGATGATACCTATTACTGTCCTTAAGATGATAATACATCCTATTCTTTTGCAGAAAACAAGGTTCTCCAAAAAGAATCAGTTTCTGAGGGGTGAAGAGGAAAATCAGGGTTGAAGAAAGCAGCAATAGGTATCTTGGAGTAAGGAGACAAAAACAAACATTTACAAAAATGTTTTGCAAAAAAGTTTAAGGACAACCACTCATAACTTCCAAAAACCAAACTATATAGGTAACAAGTATTTATTAATTTAAATACTTACTGTAATACCATGGGATGGTCCCATATGTTGCACATGAAGGCCTGGGGAATTGTAGTAAGACATTCCAGCTCTAGTCAGTGAAGTTGGTGGTGTGAAACCAACTGTGTGACTTGCATATGACAGACCTAAAATTGTTAAAACAAGGTAACATCAACATTCTTGTTTGATATTAAAAACTAAAGTGTGAGGGGTTTTTTTAGATTTTTTGGTTCTGAATCAATGATAGCCTAAAAACTGGTAAGTACTACAGATTAGCCATCTAGAAAATACTAATTGTACTGAGAAGTGTGATGCTTATTTATTTTCTTTTCCTGTAGTATACTACCATATGTTTAAAACATATATTATACAATGTTAAACATAACTTTTCACTTAAGATAAATGGTGTAAGACTCCTATAGTAGCTTAGTTCTAGTCCATAAGTATTTCCATTCAGCATTCCAATTCTCCATGGAGGAAATGGCTCCCTGAACTACATACAGTCTGAAGAAGAAGAGAGGTTGTGGCTGGAGAAGCCATCTAGGCTTCTGGGTCACTGGGTCACAAAATGAGGTTCCACAAAAAAACTGGATCTAGGTGGCTCCTCCAAGGCATACCAGATCTGAACCGAGGCTTCCTTCTCTTTTGCCTCAGCATTTTAAAGATCTTTGGGTTGGGGAAAATGAAAACATCCTGGGAAATGTTACTAGCTGGACTAGGCTAGCAACTAACATTTAAAATTGCAACTTGCTTATCTACATTTAGGAAAGCCCAATATTCAAAACTGCAAATATCCAATTCTTTCATCCAAGTATTTCCTTTTTGTAAGAACTCAATTATAAAAATGCAGAGTTCCTGTACAGCTCTATTTAACCAAGGAAAACAGAAACAGCAACTGCCAAATGCTTCAAGTTCACACTTAAAGCATTCTGAACAGCTTGAGTTTCTCAAAAGAGCATATTTTCCAAAACGTTTTGCTCCTTTCTGCTTTTTGACAAAAATATCATAAGGAAGGAGTCAGGACTTTTCTCAGCTGTTTACAATTAGACTCAAGCAACTGCTTTGGAGAACAATGACTGAAGAACATTTCTGAAGGCCTATTAAAACTTTTATAACACCACAGTGGGTTTAACAGTTTTCACACTTCAACACTAAACTAATACAGAACAATGTGTCTGCAGCAACACCCAGCATCATCCCTGCCTGCATGCACCTGTGTTTCTGACTACAAGAGATGAGACGAGATCTGGACAAGAAAACAGAACAAGCCTCAGATCACTAAATGAAGTAACAAAAACTCCCTGTGCTTCCTTCAATTCTGTTTGATTCTGTTACATTTTCAATGTATGTCTGGTGCAAATTACAAGTTACTCCCATGGAATCCCTGCCACTGTAGAGTAACAACAAAATTAATCTGCCTTGTGACTATACAATCTAATTATCTGTAGAGCACATGTGTTATACTTAAGTGCTTTTGTAAGCACCAAGGATAGAAACAGGTCAATGTTCAGGGAGGTGACAACGCAGTCAGTCAGAGGTAAGAGCCTAGAAATAATGGGCAAAACAGAGCCACCCCTGTAACGTGGCAATTCTGAACTGCTTTGGAATAATCCAGCTCCACAAGCTTGACAAATGGAAGTCTACATGGCAGCCAAAGAAACAAAACCAGAGCACTGCACATACATTCAGGATAGTTCATCTCTGCAGCCCGACACATCTATCTAGCCTAGAGGCAAAGCACAGAACAGTATCTACGCTGAAGACTAACTGGTAATTAGAACAACTAATCCCCAGCTGCCTAGGAGTAACAGTAATTACACTATCTTCAAAGTTCTAGAAGATTTCTAGCACAGTGATCTGTGCAAGAAATCTCAGCAGAATCTCAGCTTCAAAGAGTCTTCAAAAGTAGTATCCCAAGCCATGCAGGCAAAAAAGACTCTGGGATTCAGAAGCCAGAATCAGATCCATTCAATCAGCTATCCACATGAAATTACAGCATTTCTAACTGGTTACAAATATTCTGCTTCCATATATTCAAGGCACGTCATTTCCTGAATGAAATATGCCAAGTCATACAAATACTTGATGCAACATACAGCTGTTTTATTATTCTGTGCTGATACTTCTGGCATCATCTTACTCTACTACTTTAGATACAAAATACTCTCAAAACCTTTTTGTTTTCATCCATTACTGCATTCATTTGTCCCAGACAGCTCTACAAAATTCCCTATTGATCTCATTAGTTCTCTAACAAACTGCAGCTTCTATTTTTCTGAAGTCTGACACTTCCAAAGTGCTGATATTAATTTATCAGATGTAAAGGAGATTAATGCAGCTGCCTGTGCAGACAAGCTAGCCTGGAACATTTACCACACCAAAATTCTCAAACTCCTAAACTCTGTTAGAAACAATAATTTCAGCTGTGCTTCAGAGTGTGTTTCAGGATACTCTGTCTGTGAGATAAAATTCTCACTCTTGTATCAACTACTGATGGAAAATCAAGTTCACAGGGAACAAGGAATGCACTTCAGTCTCAGCATAGGAATAAACTGACAGAGTTCCCCTTCACTGACACATCAGCACCTAAACAGGGTGCACTGCTAAGTAATGTAAGATGCAAGCCTGTAAGTTAGCAAGTAATCTGTCCCACAGAGCTGCTCTAACCCCTATGTGACTGCAGATCCAACCTGCAGCTGGACACTGTACTGTTACAAAGGCTGCACACAGAGAAACACAAACAAAGGAGCTGTTCCTCCAGAGCAGCTCTTGGCACAACTACACTGCTGTACACCCACTTACAGGAAAGGGGTAAGAAAACGTGTATCATTTTCTTGGTAACACACCTGGCAAAACACTGAAAGTCAAGTCATTTGGCTCATTTCAGAAACACAAAAACCTTCTGAAAACTCATAGTCACACTGCTCATCTCTAACATCATAACATGGCTTATGGCCATAGCTGGTTTTCACACGTCCAACACCTGGATGAAAACTATTTATAGTCCTTTGAGAAACCACAGTCAACCTTGAAAATTCAAGGATCTAAAGACATTTTATATGTTCTAGCAGACCTGTGTAATAAAATGTCTCATTCCCATCTTGTGTCAACACAGAGCACATCTCATCTGCCTGGCAGGTTCTAGAGGTGCACATGAAAAAGCCAGGCATGCACAATTAACTTCTTTATGTACATGGTTTTTTGTGACCACCATGTAATACCCACAGCCAACAACTTGAATGTTCAAGTGCAATTTTAAGGGATTTTAAATTTCAGTCAATAAATGTGTTAGTAACACAAATGCATTTCACTTGACTTAAAATATATTCAGTAATTAAAAACTCAGAAAAAGTTTGTTTGCCTCTGTTATACAAAGTTTGTGAGACAGGAATTATTAATTTAACAGTTATTGTCTAATAATAGAAAATAGCAGAAGTACAAAAGTAATTTCTCTACTGAAATGTAAATTGACTTTTTTTTCCAACATGTTCACAATTAAACTTCTCTAAGAAGTTTTGATTCAGAGCACAGTATCAGTCTAATTAATTACTAGCTCTTCATCAGACTCTAGAAATCCATTTGAATTATGTGTCCTGTTGCAAAACTTGTGTGGGAAGGGAGGGGGAAAAAAAAAGACAGCAAGAGAGAAAAAAAGAGGAAAAAAGAAATAAAGTTCAAGTGATAGCTACTTAACTGATCTTCAATATCTGTCCACAGATCTGAAATATAGAATATCTGGTCACCATCCAAGAACATGCTGCACTAGAAAACACCTAAGGCAAAACTATTCTTGCATTTATGATGCAGGATTTTTTTCTCCAAACTAGATTTGAAAGGCTACTGACCTAAATATATTAATAGGGCACGTTACTATGTGATGCATACAATAATTTTAGAAACTGGGTTAAATATTTACCAGGTGATATAGGTCTGCTAGAACTTGGTGAGGGTGTATAAGGGATAGGACTGGACACAGTGCGAGGTCTTAATCCTTGTGCAGACATCTCATTAAAATATCTAACAAAAAAAGGCAAAGAATAATTAGATCAAACCTTTTAAAATGTGCCATGTTTTAAATGTTTCACTGTGATTTTTTTTCAATTCCCATAAGAATCACATTAGGAAGTCATGACAGGAACTCTGGTCATTGCTGACACTGGCTTAACTTTCCATGGAAGCAGCTGGACTTCTCTTAGGCATTTGCAGCTAAAACCATATAAGTAGTGTATGATTAAAGAGCATGTATTAAGGTCAGAGATGTAAACCATGTCCAATCTGACCCATTCTACATTCTTGCACTTCACACATCATTTCTACATTGAACTCAAAAGCTTGGTTGGCTGGAGTGTATCTTCCAGAAAGGCATTCAGCACTTATCTGAAATCATGAAAAAGGGTGAAGAAATCATTAAAGTACTAACAATTTGTTCCAACAGCTGATCAGCCATAGCATTAAAAACATGTCCTGTTTCCTACTTGAATCCCTCTCGTCCCAACATTTAAACATTTGCTCATCCCATCTTCTGCCACTGGAAGAGAGACATTTTCAACCCAGGACCACCTCACTAAAGGTACTTTCAGGCTGTGTTGCAGGACACATCCCACACTTAACTATGATAAGCTGAATAGAACAGAACCTGAGGCAAGGCATTTTTCCCCAGCTGTAATAATTTTAGTGATATTTATTTGTCCTTCATTCACTGACTACACTGAAGCTTCTTCATGGATATCAAGTGCTATATAAAAGAATAACAATGACACCAATTGCTCCTAACTGCCACTCACTGTTTTTATCTCAAGAGATTTTGTGGGTTTTTCCCCATAGCACTAGGTTGGCAGTCTCAGGTTGAGCTGCTTAGGCACTCTCCATTAGATTTTCCAGTCACTCTAGATTAGATGTCCTCCTGCTCACCTTCTCCATGTGGCTGAAAAACAGTGCACATGGGTTTATATTATTAGATTCAGCTGTGTTTCTTTATTGGACACAGCAGAACAGCAGGCCATATTTGCTACCTA